ATAAAGATGTACCTTGTCGCTGGAAGTGTCTGTGGACACTGTGGACACCTTGATTTTCTGAGGCGATTTCTGGCTGAAGTCTTGCTCCGAATTCTTTGGAAGATGAAATCCCAACAACGTCTCAAGCCCAGCTCGCATGCCATAGGCTTAGTGATAGCTTTCACGACCTTTCAAGAGATCTCCGAATATCCATGAATATCCCAAGAAGCCTTTCATTTCAGGAGTGTTTCTTCAAATTCGAAACTTCCCATGTTAATATATGTTAATACATGTTAATATATGTTAATATATGTTAATATATGTTTCTCATGTTTATCAATGTTTGCAGTATGCTCGTAGGTGGTCCAATCACAGCAGAGCTTATCATACTAAACCACTATCATCCACTATCGGTATGTGTTTGTCCAGCCAGGATTCTTTAGAGAAGGCCATGGGCCGTGCCAAGAGGCAGCCGTAGCAGCCCAGGCGACGACTTGGGTGGTTTGATTCGTGAAGAGTCGCTGCGCCGATGGGTTGGAGCCCCGTGCCGTGCCTCTTTCGTTCTTGGCGAAGGGGACGACACCAAGGCCACGATGCAGGTGCCCTTCGTTCATCAAGAGGAACCGCATTCTCTGTCGAGTCTGGGCCGGGCGAATGCCTCAGGCTAAAAGAGACCAATGTTTGAAGACTTTCTGTGCTCACAACGGAACACCGATGGGTTTATCTGTAAAAAGGGTACATCCAAGTTTTATGATTGATCATCATAATTTGATAAATAATGTTAAACATAATATATCTATATGTATATATAATATTCATTGTTATACATATATATCTATATATATTTGGGAAATTGTCAGTGATCGCAGATGCTTCAGGTCCTCCAGCGCTTGCTGGTGCCCATTGGGTCAAAGGCTGGAATCGTTGGATCGCCAGGGAGCCCAGCAGAGCCCAGCAGAGATCGCTTCAGCGGTTCCGAATTGTCACGGGGGTACCCCCCCCAAAAAAAGGTTTTACAATGGAAACATATGGAAACTCCATTTTTAGATGGATACCCCGATTTTATGAAATCCCCCATGTCATCATGTTGGACAAGTGTGTGTACGTAAATACTTGCTGCTTGCATAGCACATATGCCCACAGCTGCGACTAGCATCATGTGTGACGCGTCTAGATACAGCCTTATGCCCTAGCAGATACGACTCACATGTTTTTCTCTGTTGCTTTGTTCTTCGTGTTGAGGGGGTATTGGATCGAAAGCAAAGAGAACTGGATCTGTGAGAGGTATGAATTTCATGATATTTTATGTATGTCGGATAGAGGATTAAAGGAGATGATCACACATACTGACGAGTCTTCTGCCCAGATCCCACTAGATCATGGATCCCATTCCCGAGGCCTATGACGACCCAGGCATGGACACAGCTTGAGCTGATGCTTGAGGCGGGCCTGTGTTCCAGTTCCATGGCATTCTGAAGCTGTTTCAACAGGCTGTTTCAACAGGGAGCTGACTTGCAAATCTTGGAAATGGAAATTAACTGCAGTGATCTGCACTGCTTCCTGGCAGTTCCAAAGTCATGACTTGTCATTTGATGGGGCTCCTGTCTAAGCAGAATGTCTAATCTCAGGCATGCTATCGTGGCGAGCACCTTCCACGAGAGAGGTGTTTGGCAAAACACATCCATGTGACTTGGCGGCAAGCTGCTGCTGAAATCCATTTGTTGATCTGTGTTGATAGCTTTTTCCAGCTTTGGCTCTCGTTGACCGTTGTTTGCGTTATCACAGGTGACAAAATCAGGTTTCGCGAAGCGCGGAGTCAAAGCCTCAAGGAAGATGACGCAGTGGCACGGGAGAGTGGAGTTGCATGTTTGCTTCTGTTGCCAGGGCAGCTGTTTCTGTTGAATGCCTGCATCATTCACACCGAATCAGATGAGCTGCATACTTGTTCACAGAAAGCAACACGCGGAAAGGTCTTGTTCCTTCAATGTGCTGAGCATAACAAGTACAGGATATCATCAATATCAATAGTTGGATGACATTCTGCTTGTGAAAAGTTTTGAGTGTTGGAGTTGCGCCTCCACGGAGATCCAAAAGTGCAGGTTGCAATTCTCCAAAGCATCTACCACGCTCAGCTTGACTGTCGCCAGCCGCACGCACCCAAGCCTCAGTCCAGAACGTTCAACGGGTTAAAACATGTTGAAACATGTTGAAACCAGCTGAGAATGGGTGAAAGTCCAAAAGTTCCACTGGAAATTCGGAAATTCCTTGGAAATTCTGGCACCTTAGGCCAACTGTGCAGCACTTGTCGGATTCTGAAGATGATGCACCCCGTCCTGCTGGGAACCAAGAGCCATGGGTGCGGTTACGATTGCGTATCAAAGCAGTGTGCGGCAGTTGAAGAGTAAAAGAAACCCTCCAAAGGAAATGCCATCTCCAAACACTAGGATCACTAGGCCCTAGCTTCACTATGCTTGATCGTCGCATCAACCATCATCAACCCCATCTTAAAAAGAATTAAAAACATGCCCAAACTATCCAATAAACTATCCCAAACTCTTCAAAAAGCACAATTTTGGACATCTTTGGACCGAGGCAGAGAAGAATGGTCAACACCTTAGCAGCTTGAGCAGCACCATGCAGCACCGTTGGATCCATCGCCGCGGTTGGACCAGGTTCGACGTCTCCGCAACGGCGGAGCTTTGTGTCCCAGGCAAAGGCTGATAAGGCCTGGAAGTTGGTCAGCTAAATTTGGGGGCTGATGCTATCGAACATGTATCATATAATTTAATTGTGTTTAATATACGTATATTGATTATATTATATATATTGCAGTTATTTATTTAACTTATGACATTATATTATATATATATGGATACATTATAATATCTTTGTCTATAAATATATTACAGTATTTCATTTATGATTAAAGTACATTATTCTAGTTAATGATATATGTACATCAAGGACACATCATACAACAAAGTATCCTATACAACATTAGTGGGAAATGTCTGCAGGGGCGTTTTGCAAATGTTTGCAAATGACATCCTCCCAGCCAGGATTGAGGATTGAATAATAATGGCTTGGAGCAACTTCTTCAACCCAGAATTGAAGATTGAAGATCTGAAACAAAACTTCTTCAATCGAGAATTGAAATTCAGAAGGCTATGGATTAAAGGTCTTCTTCGATCCTGGCATTGCAAACTACAACTTCAAAGTCTGAAAACTGAATACGCATGGAATTTGGATGTATGATGATGTATGATGTTCGATTCGTTCGGAAGGTCTACGTCGACACGTATCGAACTCAGTGGTTTTCACTTCCAACAGACTGCCAGATCTATCAGCCGATGGCTCGTACAGAGGCCGATGGACAGAGACCCCGCAGCTGGGAGTATACTCTTCGAAAGGTCGGCGGATGCAGAGGGTATGAGTCAAAACCCTGGTACTTTAATGAGAACATCAAGATAGCTGGGATTTATCATGATTTATTATTTATGGATGTGAAGAACCCCCGAAATACAGGTGTAATAGGTTTTGACCCAGACGTTGCAACGAGCATTTTCGTAAGCCCTTTCAAATGAACATCATGAAGTCGAACGAGGAATTGATGAAATCGTTGTGAGTAGTGAAAGAGTTGACGGCAGCGAGGCAAGTTGGACATGGCCGCCCTCTCAGCAGCAAACATGCTGTGATGACCTTCTACGATGAGGCGTCAGGGTGTCCAGGGGTGTCATTGCCGAATTAGGAATTGGACCCATTCTCTTAATGTGGGAGGAAAGATGCTCCAAAGTGCAAGAAGAACTCGGTTGTTGCCAAATTGCCAAATGCATTGCAGTATATATTAGATGATATCATATAGATGTGATTAATTGTAAGTAGATGTCGCTCAAAGATCGTCAAGATCTTTCGATCCAGTTTCTGATGCTGTGGTTGTTCATGTTTTTCCGCATTGTGCCATACTTTGCCTTGTTGCTGTCTGGGGTACGAAAGGTACAGAGCTCATGATTGAATCCACTGAAATTCAAGAATATCAGTCAGTCATTTCCTGTGTTTCCATTCATTTCTAGTGTTAAGTTGTTTTGATTGGTCCACAAACAGCGTCGTCCTATCTCATGCGCAGGATCTTCCGCTGTACTACATCCAGCTGGATCGCCAACGACTGAAGGTCCCTGGCCTCATACAGGTGTTCTTGACACTTGAATGTTGACCAAAACGATGCCAATAACTGCGAACAAACCATTTTGAATTTTGGTACAAGAAAAAGATTAAACACATATTGATGATAGTTGATGATTTTTCGGAAGATGGAAAAGTCTTTCCGACTTCCAGGTGAGCTATTCATCTTCAGATGGGCTATGCCTCGGATATTTGGTGCACAAAAATGTCTTGGCAGAGCTTCTGGAGGCCATGGCAGCCATGATCCATGCAGTGCCTCAAGGTGTTTCTATGTTTATTTCACATTATTTCATGTGTTCAAATCTTGAAAATATCCTTATAACAACTTTAAACATGTTAGGAGATAGTGAACAAATGTCCAAACTTGTTCTTTCAAAGGTTTCCCAAAGAAAACGTGACTACTGTAGTGACTGCTCCTCAAGGATGCAACGACTTCGCACTCAGGCCAGACTCTGGAGCGACTTCCCATGAAAATTATAATATAGTTAATGAAATTATAGTTATACCATGTTATACCGGCTATACCGAGTTATACCCCAAGGTATTGGATTCATTTATCCCATTTAAGGTGGATGTCACTGCTATGATCGGGGGAATGGGAGGAAAACCTGATTGTGTGTGTGTGTGTTGAATATTTCAAAGATTTGAAAGTTGCCGATAAAAGATACAATTTGCCGCCTATCATCATGCCATCTAACATTCACATCTTTCTATATCAGCACTAGTGACACTAGCCCACATGTGTTGCTGAAGATTTGACGCAGCAAGAAAACGATCTAGAACCGTTTTGTTGCAAAATGTCCGCCTCACCTTTTGCTTGCTCATGATTGGGGAAACATTTCTAGAGATGGGAATTTTGCATAATTTTGCTAGGTTCGGACGGTGGTTTGCAGTTCTCAGCTCAGTCGTTTCGACGGATATTCTCAACTGGCCCCGGTTTGGTCAAACCAACTTGCAATTTCAGCGTGCATTTCAGATCCCAGTCCAAAACTAGAAAATGTATGAAAATGCGTTGCTTGCAATTACGTTTTCCGATGTCTTCCATCTACTTTGCAGTAAGTTGCTCGCACTGATCTATCAATTCACGGGGTCGAACAGCAGTGTTTGCGATGGCCTATGTGCAAGCCTCTAATTCCATATTCGTTTATTCGATCTTCAAGTTTTGAACATCTTTGAACTATTTCGAAATATTTCGAACTTGCATTTGATTGCGCATACCTCCAAGGAACGATCCTCTCATGTTTTCTGCCGTCTTCAGGTTGGTGCGCAGCCTTCGCATGAAGTTCTTGCCATGGATTGTGGACGTTCTGCGGCAGCCTAGCAGCAAGACATCGCTAGATTTCGAACAAACTCCGCAGCAAATTCCACAGCATTCCTACTTTTTGGATCTTTTTAGCAGCAAGTCGCAGACACAAGAACCACTAAGAGAGCATGGAATCAGCCTTAAGGAATCAGATAGAGAAATGGATCCACCGGACCCACGGATTTCACAACCCAGGTCACCTTTGCCCAGCGACACCAAGACGTGGATTCTCAGATGTTGCCACTGGGCCAAGAGCAGCGACTGAATTGCTGTGTATCGCCATCAAAGGAGAGGTGGAAAATGACTGAAAAAGTATGAAAAGAATGTGCAATCCTTTTCTCCAACAACGCAGCCACCTCCAAGCTAAGAAACTGGGCGAAGACAGCGTAGGCGAAAGCCATTGAATTTGAATGCAAGCATCACTCAATCAAATGAACTCATGTAATGGCGGCACAAAATTGAGCGGATTGTTTTTTGCAGCAAATTTGGAGGCACACCCCATCAAGAAAGCGAAGATACTCGTATGATCCGGAACTTGAAAGGAACGAGAGATGAATTTGAGTGCAACAATTGCTAGGTTTGCCAAAGTTTGTCACTCACTAATATTCATACATGCACCGGTGGGTGCCCAAAAGCTCTAAGTTTCAAGGCATTTCAACTCTTTCCATAAAAAAATATACTGTAAATCTGCAGTCTCCAAGGCGAAAGGATGGGAATGGTGGCTCAGAGCTAAGTGAACCAAGATGAACCAAGATGAACCAAGATGAACCAAGATGAACCAAGATGAACCAAGATGAACCAAGGGCTCAGAATCCTCAGCACCACAGTCATGGCTATGCCATAGGCACTGGTGATTTCGCCAAGGCCGTGGCACCATACCAGGACTCGACTGGAACGCAGTGACAGATTGGACAGATTCGACAGGTTCTAATGTGGATTGCGGCTGTGATTGTGGCAGCAAGAACGTATGTGAAGATTTACAAGTTGTCGCTGGGCTCCTTGTTTTGGTGGACATGGAAGTTCAGTTTGCAAGAATAGCATGGATGCGGATAGCACCTCAAATGCTGATGTGTTGAAGCAGGGGGGCATATGGACAAGATAAGTGTGCGCTTTGTGTGTTGCATCCAGGAGCCCAATCATGTTAACCTGGCTATTATGGCATTCAGCCTTTGCCGCTGTTGTGATAGTCTCGGAATAAGAACTTTGAGAGCTCATTGATTTCAGCTCCCATTGGGTCACAGGCTTTGGAAAAGTGCTGGAACTCTGGCATAAAAATAGTATGTAAAATTAAAAGTATGTATAGAAATTATAGAAAGTTGTTTTGTTGACATTTGAGAGAAGACGCACCAGGAAAAGTATGCTCAACATTGCTCAACGATGCTCAACGTTTCTTCTCAGGCGCCCCACGTTCTTCAGGTCCTGCTGGCTCGGATGCTGCACTCTTCCTCCGCAGTGTGCTCATGAATGCTGGGAAGCCTAGAAGGGTCCAGCATGGTCCAAGTAGGGATCGCATTTAGTGAAACGATAATGTTTTTTTGATTGTTTTGATTGTTTTGATTGGTCAATTTTTATCCTTGGTCCGCTATGATGCACGAACAACAATGAACGTAAACACAACGTAACATAGATAATGTCAGGACTATTTGAAGAAGGCTGAAACTTGATGGCTTCATTGAGCTGTTTACAAGACACAGTAGAGCTAGCTAGTAGTAAGTGCCCAGCACAACGACATTGTGTGCATGGTGATGGGTTGTTGAGGAGGCATAGTTGTCCCGAAGCCATTCACAAAGATCATATAAATTCATGTATAGAATATTATATATTATATGTTGTTTATATAATATAGACAGTCCAGAGTCCATACTATCTGTGTTACATCAATTTCTAAAAGTTGGCCAGAGCACAGACCGAAAAGACGCAGCTCGACGCAGCTTGTCAAGGCCTGGCACATCCCCGAAGAGGTGAAGCACTTCGTGGAGCGCAAAAGCGATGCCCGGAGCTTTGTCTCCAGATATCTCCAGATTCTGAAGCAAACCATCAACAGGTCATGACTTGGGGGTTTCCCAAGTCATGGGCGACCCCAATAGCTGGATGTTTATAAATGTTATTAAAGGGAAAATCCTACTCAAATCCATATGGGACAAGAATTAAAACCCAGAAAAACGATTCTGGACATGTGCAGTATTGCGCATCAAATTTTACAGCTACCATATGAATTTAGCTATACCCAAATCATCTACAAACAATCTATAGATCATCTATCATCCATAAAAATTGGGACAATCAATACTAATCACTAATCACTCATAAGATATCATAACCGTCTTTCAAATGGTTTCTCCAAGGTCTACGGTGTCTACGTTGTGAAGCCTGGCACCTTGCAGAGGTGCCGGGCAAACCCATTTTTTCATCCAAACATTTGTATTTTTAAATCTGGTATGTTTATACAGTTTTATACATATGATTTGGATGTTTATAAACATTTCTAAACCCAAAATTTGGTTTGGATGATTTTGGGAAACAATATGTGTTAAACATCACAATATGATTTGATGTTCTGTTTATACATAATAATTTGTTAAACCAATGTGTTATTGATGTTTAATAGGAAAGCCATTGGTTTTTGGAGGCCCCCTGTTATTGTGATTTCATAAGGAACATCCAGAAAATGACTCAAGGTGTGTTGAATGGCTTCTGGTTCCAAACTGAGCGTTTGAAGACTCGCAGACTCGCAACTATCACGTCATAGTAAGAGGGGAAGAGGATGAAAGAGGGTAGAGCAGACGAGGCTGCCTCTGGAATTGAACGGATACAATGCCACAAGATTTTTGAAGGCACCACCATTTCAGTGTTTAAAGGTGTGTGTGTGTGTTTCTGCTTGTGCAGGATTCAAGAGCTTGGACTGCGTGTTGCAGTGCGGGACTTTGAAAGAGAGGTGTGGCAACGAAGTCTGGACAACAGCCGCGGAGCTTAGCATTTAAATCGTGAACGACCGACAGAGGTGAGATATCTGCAGCACTGAAATGCAATGTCAGACTCTGTTGCCAATGTTTCTGTATCCTGCAGCTTTGGGTCGCATGTTTGGCAAGCTCGGGCAGCCTTTTATATATTATATAAATTATATATACATATATAATTATATAATATTATATACATATATATAATATATATACTGTACACACACACACACGAGCGTTTTTACATGTTTTTGCTACTTACCCGGAGTGGTTCGAGTGGTTCGGCGTTTTTGGCTATTTCTAGCTTCAATCAGGTGCCATGTACTTGGACATCATCTCTCATTTTTCAAGCTACTGTTGCTTCACCTACGCTTTGACCTCAGAGGGGTCACCGCCCAGGGTGACAGACTCGACAGATAGTTATCCAAAGATCCACTGAGGTGAAGGGCTTGAAGAAGTTGGATGATATCCTCCTTAAGTGGCTTGCTGAATATACTCGCCAGGGGCTTAAGGGGCTTAAGAATCTGGAAGATTCCGGTGCCGGGGAGCAGATTCAGGGCCCCAATGCTGGATGCGTATTTGTACTCCATAAGTACAAGGAATCGTATTTGTTTGTACATGTGTGTACAAATCCTCTCCAAAACTATAGTGATGATGTTTCAATCTGTTTGATGTATATTTGATCATATTTCAAGCTCCACAATTTCAAATTCACGCGAGTTCTCAGGTTTAGAACATGTGCACACCACATGTGAGGTGCAGGTCAATGACTTCAGAAGCTGATCCCTAAGGTTTGCATCCATGGCGATTCGTATACCTTGAAGGAGAGTGTTGGTTGACACAAACGCTGTGGGGGCACCATGGGGCACCATTGTAGGGACCTTTGATCCGACCCAGGAAGTCTTTGTTCACCTTGTGCAGAGGAGTTGATACATCCTTTAACTTTCCGGAGAATCGTGAAATCCTCGGAAGAGCTCCGAAGCCTCCAGAGTCAAAGCAACAGAAACTGTCCTAAGATTACAGGCTAAGATAGGCGAAGCATGGAAGCTTGCAGTTTGTGAAGGTGATCGGTGTAATTTCCGCTTCGCTCCTGCAAATCCTTTGCACTCCGCCTGATCCTTGGAAGTGCCAATGCCTTCTTGACAATTGTGAAAGTGAAAAGGTGCCTTTACTCAGACGCTTTAGCATGCTTTAGCAGTGTACTGCCAAGGTAAGGAGTATGGATGATTTGAAGAAGCTGGAGGTTTCTCAAGTACGGCCAAGTACGGGCTTCAACCGCAGCATCAACAGTTGGAATCACAAGATTTTCCAGAGACTTGTCCGTTTGAGATGTTTCTTTGAGGCCACTTCGTGTCGTACGCTGCGCGGACGCAGCCAGCGGAAGAGCTTCAGGCGCAGCTTCAGCAGCTTGCTCTGAGTGGCTCTTCGCAAAGTTGAAGCTCCCTTGGCACATGCGGAGTCCACTCAGAACAGTAATATTGTAGTGAATTCTGAATTCATTCAAATTTGCAGATAATTTGGAGAATGTAGAGTCCGACATAACATTACATAACATACTGCATCAGGCGTTCTAAAGATTTCTTGAATGCCTGATGAACATTTTGTATCATTTTGTCTAGTTAGTGAAGCGTGACCTACATCCAGCAAGGATTCTCGGCGCTTGCTTGCCTTCTTCGCCAAGAACTTTGCCCCAGACAGTGCGGATCTTGGATTCAGATGGATTCAGGACACCAACCCGAGAATACATACATGGGGTGTCTTAAAAAGGGGAATACCCCCAACTTTACTACATCATATTGTATCTATTTTAAAGGTGAAAACGAGAATCTATTGGGATCGGAGGTACCAATGTTCAGACCAGCCTATACCAGCCTATGTACGCGATAAACCCTGAGCAATGGTTGGTGAAGACATGATTCAGGGACGTTTTGTCAGCCTGTGGTTCGAGAAGCTGGATGAGTCCTCCCTCAGGATGCAATCAAGTCCGGTTGAGCATCCAGATACACGGGGCCTGTGGCCAGTGACTGCTAGGAGTGTCAAACCTTGATTGCTCATAGTGAGTACTGGTAGTTGTCAAGGCAGTACCGGGAGCCTGGCAGCAGATGCTATGCATCAAGACACCATGTTTTCGCAGTCGCTGCAATCTCAGATCAGCTTAGATCGACATGTGCCACATGGTCAAAACTTGTAGGTTGCCCATATTGAGGGATACTGTAGTTAATAATCATTATCCATCAATGGAGATTTACATGCCACTCTTGTATATAAATCACAAAAATTATGATTAAGAAATAGATGACCATGCGCCAAAAAATCCAAAAGAAACATGGAACTTGACCATGGCACGTCTCTCAAAGTGGTCTGTGAATTGGTGAGTTTGGACTGCCGGTGATGACTTAGGCCACCAGCATCTTCCTACTCTCCAGACTTTCGGAGGGAGTTGGAGGATGGGTGCGAAGGTGACACGACTGGCACCGGAATCCTGCGGAAGTTCCCGATGAAACCCTTCCTCTCCAGGATTTACTGTTCGGCCCATTGCCCTGCATGATTCTTTTGGCTGCAGCCTTAGTTGTTTGGGATTCTTTGGGACGATTGAAATCGACGAATTCAATGCTGGTCTTCCCTGCCACTGTTGGACTGATCGTTCCTCCCATTCCCAATAATTGCTTAGACCTTGGGGAAATCAGTGAGCAATGGATGTGCTATTATACATATACATACATGTATATATATATCATATCATATCATATGCCATTACATTAATAGAATTTATTAATGGTCAATATTATATACATATATGCCAGTGTTCATGGTTGAGATACCGGTACCAATTCCTGTTCATATATCAATCCTGTTGAGAACAGGAATCCCTGATAGTCCCGAGGTCTCCGCACCCGGCGCTGGGAAGACCCACCACATGTCAGCTCTTCGGGGACGGCTGGAGGACGCGGCTACAACATGAGCCAAGGATGAAGCCAATCATGATATTATATATATATATGTTGATGGAGAAATACGGAGAAATACCAAAAGCCTCAGATTGTTTTTGAGATTGTTCCAGCTTGTTGGATTGTAGCTCCAAAGAGTTTCTAATATGCTTGGCAATTCTTGGATCATCTTGGTAGCATATTAATTGATTTTGCACTGGCTGATGCAGAGAGATGCTGAGAGGGAGCTGCTTTCAGCGTTCGATTTGTTGTGAGTCGAAGGAAGAGATGCAGTTCGACATTCATGAGTCTATGCCTCAGAGGATCTGTGCAGATTCAATTTCCTTCTGAATATCCAGGTTTCAGACCAGACTGGCAATCTGCATGGTCAGTAGTTTGAAGATTGCTGCCTGGATTCTTAGTTTTTGCTGAGGTTTGATGGCTCTTCTGACATCCTGGTGACAACTGCACTTGCAGAGGCCTTGAAACCTGGGGTAATCACGTGATTCGGTCACGGCAGGGTCGCATGTTGAAGATCTTTTTGGTTTGCAGACACCATTTGGGTTTGCTATCATCATTTAATTATCATTTATGCATCACATTAGGATCATTAGGCCTACTCTTTCCTAGCTTGTCCGGAGAGGAAGCTGGCTGGATGTTTGCCTGGGAGGTCCTGCAAAGAACTATGACCTCACAAAGCATGCACCAGCGCTCAGTATTGCTAAATGTTGGAATTGTTTACTTAATTTGGAAGGGGGCACAGTAAGCTGCTTCTAGGATATTGTGGCATTACAAAGCTACGTACTAAAAAGACGTAGAATGCAGAAAAGCATGGCCTCAATTTATCGCCCCCTGGTAGCCAAGGCAATCACAGAAACTGCCACAACCTCAACAGCTCAACAGGTGGAAGCTGGCAGGATGACTACGTCATGAGACAACCAGCTTGAAGTGTCCCAATCAATCACAATCAATCTACATTCCAGGGATTTCCACTCGGAGCCGAATCCGACTGCCCACACATAAGTTGGTTTATACAGTATCGTACCCTGACTAACCGATATATTTGCCATAAACGTCCATAAAACCCAGTCAAACTACTTATGAGCCAACTTATATATATAATTATATATATATATGTGTGTGTAAATACCCAAACGAACCGGGACATCACCTATCAGATCAGCAATTGCTTGCGTCCTCCAAGAAGCGTAAGGCTCATTCTGGACGAGTATCACATGCTGAGTGATGAGCTACTTGGCTCCAACGACACCTTCTGAACTTGGAGTGGCATGGAGAGTTCATGTCGAAAGGTCATGAAAGATGTGATGCCTGTGGTGCACTTTATGCCTGTGGTGCACTTCGATTATGTTGCATTTTAGTATGTAAGACGTATATATATATATATACAATTATATAATATAATATATAATATTATATAATACAATATATTATATAATATAATATATATTATATTATATTATATTATATTATATTGTATTGTATTGTATTGTATTGTATTATATTATATTATATTATATTATATATATAACTTATAACTATATAACACATATATGTATATCCATGAATCCATGAATCCATACTATTCATCATCTGTCAATTTGTGCTTTCCTGGAGCCAGGCACAAGGACGAGCTCTTCGAATGGGTGAGGGCAAAGTTGGGCTCCGAGCTGCGGGTGGTGCTCATCGCGAACCGCAGCGACTCCAAGGAGCGTGAATGCTGTGAATGGCATAGAAAACAGGCGATGATAGCGGCGATGAAAAGGTGGTTGTGGCTGGTCTTTATATAATGGAACTATGATAATGAACTATAGAAAATGTTTGAAAATGTTTTGAAAGAAAATGTGGTGATTGTGGCTGGTTTTTGGACACTTCCCCAACAGTGTCTGGATGATTATATAAATTATATGCCAGATTGTATAATATTGTATATAGGCAATACATGTGTTGCTTAATCCCATGAGATCACCATTAAATCACCATCAAATGAACTAATTTTGCAGGACAGAGAGCGGCTGGAGCAGATCCGCCCTACAGGGGCTTCGCAGGTTGCGCAAATGACCGATGGGTACGTGATGTTGCGAGCAATTTTGGCAGTCGATACCATGATTTGCCGTGTAAATATAAGATGAACAGAATGACTATAATGAATGATTTGTGCCGAAAATCAGTAATACATGTTTTCCCTTTTTTATAATAATGTGTTCCATTTCAATTTATAATGCATGGTGTTTTCAAAAGGAGGAAAAACTTTGGCATTTGCTTGTTGTTTGCATTTCCCGGAGGTGAAGGTTGCTCTCCTGCAGACACGACTCTCGCGCCTGCGGATCCAGCAGGTCAAGGAAATTGCGCATGGCTTAAGCATGGTTTAAACATGGTACATGATTTAAACATGAAAGATGAACATGACAGATGAATAATTTGAATAATGATATTGCATAGCATTGCAGATTGCAGAGCAATGACCTGGATTTGCCATTGGATAAAATTAATTATATTTAATTATCCTACACACCGTGTGTCGCCGTCTTGGAGTTGCCTTTTTCTTGCCACAGGTCATGGAGTCCCGTGGCAATGCTGAAAGATGGCGACCAGCCATTTGCGATTGGCTCGTTGCATCCCGACTGCTTTTTGGAGAGGCGCGACTGCTTTTTATATTCCGGACATGTTGATTACCCAACAACCATGGGGTTATAGTAGGATATAGTAGGAATATATTGTAATACTGAGGGTATGATATATAGAATGGAATATACCAGCAACGACTCTGTATTTTTGGGTGTTTCTGAAAATGGGTTATGCCCAAATGGCATTTCAACAAAGGGCATACTGTAAATGATAATAAACCAGTGGATTTAGGGATACCACCCACATTTTTCAATGGATTGTGCTATGTGTTTCATGCCAGATGTCTTAGATGAGTCAAGCGAATGAGGTCGAGGTTTCACACAGTCATTCAAGCAGATGGATTTTGTTCACCGTCAAGCGGTTTTTCTCCATGACATCGAGAGCGACCTTCAGAGCCATAAAAAGAATTCCAAAGTGTGATGTTTGACATCAATTCAGAGTCGCCTCACACTCTTTTCTGTGAGACGACGCAACCTGCTGACGTGGCATCACCATTTCTCTGTGATGGAACCAGATGGAACCAGATGGAACCAGGAGTCTGTCAGTCTCCGTCTTTGCGACACCTTGGAGGCAGGACGGTACTCAGCTCCGAGATATCCAAGACTGCCATGGCCATGGTCAGCAAGTCCACGTAGTCCACGTATCAGACGACTAAAATGTGTCAAAATGTTTGGAAGCACTGGCAAATCTTTCCACAAGGTGGCGGCAAAAGGTCTCTAAGATGAGTGGCAGACAAGACACGGAAGCCTCCAGTGTAGCGAGTTTGTTTGCTTGTACAGGCGTTGCTCATTTTTGGTTCAGCCTTCGGTTGTGTTTGATTTGAACCATTCAAGGCCTTACTGGAGAGTCCAGAGCCAAGAGGTGCTTTGATTGAGCGCAGAGCTTAAGATGGCATATGTTTCTTCTGCTTCTGCAAGGATCGCTAAATTGAATGAAAGTCACATGCTTTGGATGCTGGCATTGTTGCGAAGTTTTGCCCTCGAAGGCTTGAGCTTGTTGATGTAGTTTGAAACTGCCTTTGAAGATAATGAAAATGTAGAAGATGTAATTGTTTGTTTTAGCCATGACCCCGACTTGATTTCTTTATCAATTAGGACGAAATGTGCAGCGCCCAAGAGATGCCCCAAGGCTTTTGCTGCACAGGGTGCCTACAGTCTCTCGAACCAGTGCTGTAGACTTCGTGGATGCATATTTGCAGCACGAAGGGCGTGCACCTGAGATTTGCTCTTCGATTCGCATGTTCCGAAATGACAATCCATGGCAATCCATGACAGAATTGGTGGGCAGAGTCAAAGATTGTATCTTTATGTATCTTTACACATCTTTATACACAGTACATCATTGCTTCCAGGTGGTTTTGTAGCATGATACTGTGCTAATTATTGTCCTTCGTTGCCATCCACTGACTTGACTTTTGAATTTTCCAAACGATCGACGGTTCGACACGAAAGATTCGGAAGGTTCCGACGCAAAACAGCCTTTGGCAATACTTTGCTTGGCTTTTGCTTTCGAGTTGCGATGCCTGAACCTCATTTGGGACAACCCAAAACCGCGAAACCTTCTTAAACGATCATGGTCTAGCAGCTTAGCAGTTTGTGACCTTTGGAAGCCCCTCCCGGGGGCAAAAATGCTGAAGCCAAGTCGTGTCTCCTCGAAGTTTCCCTCTCAGCGAGGCAAGATGTCCAATCAGATGAGCTTTGCAGCTTCGTGGAGTTTTTGTCGTTGACGCCAAAAGCACATGAAGCTCCGCCAGCAGCCAGGAGCCCAGTGTGGCCCAGCAGATGCAGGATGTTTTCCGGCTTCCCTTGTGTTCCATTGATAATTCCTCTTTTTTCCCCACATCTTTGTGTGGGGTTCTTGTTTTTGATTCTGTATCCCGCTCCTCGTCCTCCTCCTCCCTCTCCGCCGCCTCCCTGTCACACACACACACAACTTTGTCACACACCTCTTTGTCACACCACATCTTTCACACACAACTTTATCACACACAACTTTGTCACACGCACAATCTTTCACACACAACTTTGTCACACACACAACTCTTCACATACAATTTTTAGAATGATCAATCCTCCACCGTCTCCTTTGTCCTTTTTTCTTTCTCCGTGCCGCTTCAACCACTTTTGCTGATTATTGGAAGAAGTTGGCTTGTGGGGTTATCCGGTCCTTTAATTGAGTTCAGAAACTGCCAGAAGCTACAGTTTCTGCTAGTTGTGGAGAACACGTATTTTGTTGTTGTATTTTGTTGATTATGTAGCCCTACTTCAATTTTGACGCATTTCAAAACCTGTCACTAGATCCTCTTTTCGTTGCCAATCCACACATATCCACAAGGCACGAACTCAGGTGAGGCTCCTGGCATGGGCATGCTATGTGATGAATGCGAAAAAGACGTGGGACTTGAACGGCTTGGCTGCCATGTGGTCGAAGCGGCACTTGTTCGTGGACCAGGCCACCTCAGCCGAAGATGCGGACAAGGTCCGCAAGCTTACCCGCTGCAAAACCGCGACAGGTCAATTTTCCATTCGAATTGGCAGAGGAGGCGTTGGGCTATCCGACTGGAAGTGGTATCATGCCCAGCTGTATCCGCTGTGACTTTGCGGATCTTTGCGGGTTGCTAGCAGACACTCCAAGCATCTACTGAGTCTACTGCACTAGGTGCATGTCAACACCCATTTGATTTTAGTTGAAGCACAATGAAGTCTCCAAAGTGATTTTCCTTGTAATTATTGTGTTCGGGCATGTTCGGGCAAAATTGCAATCTTGTGACTCTGAGGTCCAACTTTTTCATGGGCTGGCGACCCATCCTCTATGCGAGATCTTGTTGATGCCGCAACCTGGATTCAACACAGAGCAGGTCAATCGTTCTTGGTTGGTTTGTGTAATTTTTTGTTTTTTCTGTGTAGTTTGATTGGAATCCAGACACAGTTTTTGTGTCCGTATATGTCCGTGTATTCTCCCTTTCAGTACAGATGGATTTTGATCTCCTGGCCAATTTGTTTTTTGCATGTTTGCAGCGTCACGTTTCTTCCCTCGAGTCTGGGCCCCTTGCTATCCAATCTCTCTGACTAGCAAATGCCTGCATGTTTCTTTGTGTAACCACGACAGTTTCAAGCTCCCTTGTTTTTGTTCAAGGGCAGAATAGGCTCTTGAGTATTCACTCCACTGAACAGCTCTTGACATTTCACCTGTTGGAAGTCTTGGGACATCCTAAAATCATCTAAAATCATAATATAATTTAATTAATATATGAAATCAGGGTGGACAGATAGTATAAATTAGTATAAGGTTATTATGCCACTTCTTCTGGAGTGAACTGTTTGGTGCCAGAAGCATAAAAAAAGGTACGTCGTGGCCATTCAGTTGATTGGGCAGAAGTTCATCGAAAGGTGTGAGCCCAAATTGGCCGAACAGGGCTCAGAATCTCTTACAGATGGACTTGTGCAAATTGTCACAAGAAACTGTTGGTAGAATACAATAGGAATGGATTGAGTACTGTAGCTTAGAAGGTGTATGAACCTCACATGAATGTACACGTAGCCTGAACCGTGTCTATTGTAGTGTAGCAATGTTGTATTGTTGATTTGTGTTTTGCAGCTCCTCTTGGTTCAAACAACTTAACTTTTGGCTCAGCATGGAGACAATTGCGGGGCCGCCGGAGCAAGAGCCAGTGGAATCCCAGTTCGAGACAGAGACACAGGAGAATCATGAAGCGGAACAAGCCACTGGAGCCAATCCAATCGATGAAGGCGATTTGGCTGCTGGGGTGGACCCGGAAGACATGGCAGACCAGGCACACATGGCAGACCCCGCCGCGGACATGGCAGACCCGGCAGACATGCCAGACCCGGCAGACATGCCAGACCCGGCAGACATGCCAGACCCGGCAGACATGCCAGACCCGGCAGACATGCCAGACCCGGCAGACATGGCAGACATGGGAGACCTGACGGACATGGCAGACATTGGAGACCCGGCGGACATGGCAGACCTGGGAGACCCGGCATCTTTCGCATTGAACGTTCCTGACGGAAGCGGAGCCCGATCTAGGTCACGGACTCCCCCAAGGGATTTGTCAGACACTGCAGACACAGAGGATCTGTTTCCGCCTGTGCAGCGCACTTGCCGCTTTTGCGGGAACTTCACCATCTGTGAGTTTGGAAGGGAAGAGAACTTTTGCAGTCGGAACTGCTACAACCAATCAATGAAAGGCTGTGACTCGGCGGAGAAGTCCAGATAAGTAATCTCACTAGTTTTTTTGGGCTGTTTGCAATTCCGGACGCATGGAAAGCAAGTTTCACTGGCATCATGTCTCTTGATCCACATTGTGCAGGTGATGTTTTAGTCTGGGACAACGCAGAAGCCAAATGTTGGCTGCATAATGAAGCTGGGTTGCAGAAATCGGATGAAGTTTGTTTTGGAGCCGACATGGATAAGCACAGAGACGCATTCAGGCTGTAGAATATCTACATAAATGGATCCTGACATGTTACTTCAAGCATTGTGCCCACCCCAAACAAAAGCTGGCCACAGTTGAACTGTACAGCATCACGTTTTTTATGCAAGTGGTTTTGTAATCGTGGTCAATAGGAGATCTCCTAGCTTATCGAGGTTGTATATAGATATATTTAAGGGCTGCCGCCCCTGCCGCCGACCCCGGAAAAGGGACTAAACAGCTTTTGGCTCCTTTTTCCTGGCAGGGAAACACCATGCCTCTGAAGGACGGAGAAGCCCCAAAATTGCACCCCGAAAATGCCTAACGTAACTTCTGAAACCCATAGAAAATGATGCTTTTGGCTCCTTTTTCCTCTTGCTGCTGCCATCAATTTTAGCTACCTTTACATCCGGTCCCCAAATAGGAAAACACCATGGAAAAAATCACCTCCCGGGGGCGAAACACCATGCCTCTGAAGGACGGAGAAGCCCCAAAATTGCACCCCGAAAATGCCTAACGTAACTTCTGAAACCCATAGAAAATGATGATTTTGGCTGCTTTTTCCTCTTGCTGCTGCTATTTAATTTTGGCTACCTTTACATCCGCTCCCCAAATGGGAAAACACCATGGAAAAAATCACCTGCCGGCAGGGAAACACCATGCCTCTGAAGGACGGAGAAGCCCCAAAATTGTACCCCGAAAATGCCTAACGTAACTTCTGAACCCCATAGAAAATGATGATTTTGGCTGCTTTTTCCTCTTGCTGCTGCTATGAATTTTGGCTACCTTTTCCTCCTGCTGCTGCAGAGGCTTTTGCTGCTGCTGCTGCTGGTCCTCGGATGTGAAAACACCATGGAAAACAGGGAAACACCATGCCTCTGAAGGACGGAGAAGCCCCAAAATTGCACCCGAAAATGCCTAACGTAACTTCTGAAACCCATAGAAAATGATGATTTTGGCTGCTTTTTCCTCTTGCTGCTGCTATCAATTTTGGCTACCTTTACATCCGGTCCCCAAATGGGAAAACACAATGGAAAAAATCACCTGCCGGCAGGGAAACACCATGCCTCTGAAGGACGGAGAAGCCCCAAAATTGCACCCCGAAAATGCCTAACGTAACTTCTGAAACCCATAGAAAATGATGATTTTGGCTGCTTTTTCCTCTTGCTGCTGCTATGAATTTTGGCTACCTTTTCCTCATGCTGCTGCAGAGGCTTCTGCTGCTGCTGCTGGTCCCCGGATGGGAAAACACCATGGAAAAAATCACCTCCCGGCAGGGAAACACCGTGCCTCTGAAGGACGGAGAAGCCCCAAAATTGCACCCCGAAAATGCCTAACGTAACTTCTGAAACCGATAGAAACACCCCGAAAATGCCTAACGTAACTTCTGAAACCGATAGAAAATGATGCTTTTGGCTCCTTTTTCCTCTTGCTGCTGC